TCTAGCTGCCCATTGTTGGGTAAACAATGCAGTGAAGTGTGTACCTTGATCGGAGGAAATCTCACAGGGTATGCCGTGAATATGGACAAGATGTGCCTCCAATACACGGATGGTGGATGAGGCATCTGCCTTCCGGACTGGTACAGCTGGTGTATCCAGTTGGCTAAAGCGTCAGTCTGACACTCTAACACTGGCCGGGTCAAAGCATCAGCACGGTTGTTCCATTCATGTTCAGGATTCCCAGTGTTGATGGGTTGGTGGGCGTCCACCAACATGACCAAAATGAATTTTTATGACCTCAGATTTTACGACCAGTTGTTTCCACAGGTCCTAGCCCCATAAGTCTTTTCCTCTGATTTGCCAGTTTGAGGCCTTTCAGGCACCGGATCATACTGCCAAACCATTTGCCACTGCCCAGGAATCAGGATAGATCCAAACTGCCAGGCTTTGCCATTCAGTCTCATAATCCACCACCAGCATAAGAGCTCTCAACATTGGGAGGAGGCCCCTGTCCCGGTATCTTTGAGTTGGTGACCAGTTACAGGGTTAATGGCGGCTGCAGTCCACACACGAGTAGGACCCTTGTATCGCACTGAGCCATCTGTAAATGAGGCAGCCTTCCTTTGGTCAGGCAGCAGATCATCATAGTGAGGGGCCCATGAGTCAAGTGGCGGGGGCAAGGTTACAATGGGTAACAAATCTGGTCCACCTTCCACTGGTGCCAGCAGGGTAGTTATTTCTTCATGAAGTTTGCTTACGCCATAGGGGCCGGGCTTTGCACACTCTTGTATGTACCACTTCCATTTGATAATGGAGGACTCTTGGGCTCTCCCTACTTTGTTGGAGATGGAGTCCTGCATGACCCACTGCATTATGGGAATTTCTGGTCTAATACGAATCTCATGCCCCTCAGTTATTCGTTCCATATTGACCAATGCCCAATAGCACGCCAGCAACAGCCATTCAAAAAGGGTATAGTTACCAGCTGCGTCAGGTAATTTCCGAGTCCAAAAGTCTACTGGGCGCTTCTGATGTGTCCCTCTGGGGGTCTGCCACAAACTCCATGATGCATGATCTTGATATACTGACACTTCTAACGTGATAGGGTCAGACGATGAATAAGGGACCAGGGGCAGGGCAGTCTGTACAGCTGCTTTTACATTATTGAAGGCCTGGTGTTGTTCTGCGTTCCACTGTATTACAGCATTCTACTATCTAGGTTCATGGTTTGGTCACGCTCACAGAGCAGGAGGCTACGTGCCATTTTGCCAGCCTACTATGGAATCAGCATACAAAACTCTTGCTATTAAGCTCTTACTATTACACTGTGCCATAGGCTGGTACAAGGTCTTCAATGCTCTCTTTCCTTCCTATGAAGAAATGTTAAGGTGAGGCCCACTGTTCTCTTCACAGATCACCTTGTTGGAACCTGATACCTCTGATACAAACTGGAAATAATAGTAATTAAATCAGAGGCCCTATAGTTTAGGGCTAGGTACAGACATTAAAAAAGCCTGAGGTAGAAGTGATTGATACCCACTAGGGATAATGCCTTGCTGGACTTGGTCCTGGCCACAGGGGATGACCTGGTGAGGAGACTGCAGGTTTTTGACCACCCGGGCAATAGCGATCATCACCTGCTGGATTTCACTATCTAACGCAGGGTGTCTAGGGCTCCCACCAAGGCTAAAGCCCTTGACTTCAGAAGGGCCAACTTCAATGAGCTTAGGAGACTAGTGGGGGAGGCACTAAGGGCCCAGAAAGTAGAGGAGATGGAAGCTCACAAGGGATGGTCATACCTTAAGGGGGCGATCCTCCAGGCCCAAAGGATAACAGTCCCTGAGAAAAGCAAGGGGGGTAAAAGTGCTCAGAAACCCCCTTGGCTCAGCAAGGGCATTCAACAATGCCTGAGGACTAAAAGGGAGGTGTACAACCAGTGGAAGGGAGGAACTATCACCAAGGAGGAGTACTCCTCCTTGGCCCGGGAGTGTAGGAGGGCTATTAGGAAGGCCAAGGCAGAGATGGAACTCAGGCTAGTGTCCAGGATTAAGGACAACAAAAAGTCCTTTTTCAAGTACATTGGGAGCAAGAAGAGGGCACCAGGCAATGTAGGGCCCCTGCAAGACACAAACGGTAATCTGGTGGCCACGCCAGACAAGAAAACTGATATTTTTAACAGTTTCTTTGCCTCTGTTTTCCTGAACATGGACCGGGACATCCCACCTACCAGAGGTAGGGACAATCTTGGGGATAGCTCTATCAAGCCTTCAGTCAGGATAGATGTAGTTAGGGATCTTCTGGAAGGGCTAGACATTTTTAAATCTGCAGGTCCAGATGCCCTCCACCCAAGGGTGTTGAGGGAG